TGTGTGTGTGTGTGTGTGTGTGTGTGTGTGTGTGTGTGTGTGTGTGTATGTATATGAATTTATTGGAATGACTTACAGGCTGCAGTCCAACAATGGCTAGCTGTGAATGGAAAGAATCCAGCAGTTGCTCAGTCTCACGAGGCTGGGTGTTTCCTTGGCCTTCTGTAAATGCTGGAGTCCTGTAGAAGGAGGTTCCAATGTCAGTGAAGGAACGGATGTGCTGACAAGGTGAAGAACAAGCAAACTCTTCCTTCTTCCACTTCCTTACATAGGCTTCCAGCAGGAGGTGTGGCCCAGATTAAAGGTGTGCCTTCCCACATCAAGGTCTGGATTAGAGGTGTGTGTCATCCAGCCTCAAGATCTGGATCAAAAGCCTGGGTCTTCCTGCTTCAAGATGCAGATCAAAGGCGTGCCCTCCATTTCTCGGTTGTAGTTCATTCCAGACATAGTCAAGTTGACAGCCAAGAATAGCATCACCCCAGAAGAGGGAGAACTTCACATTTCCTGAGTCTTTTCAGACCTCCACACTGACAGATGTGACTGAAGTGACCAACAGCTTGGGTCACCCTTCTGTGAGTGGCCAGGAGGTCCCAGGAGATGAGTAACAGGGCCTTCAGGGTGGACCAAGCTTTTGATCTGCTTGGTGTGGAGGAAAAGGAGGTCTAAGGGTCTTAGTGTTGCGACATGGGGGTCTCTGGAAATGCTAAAGAATCAAGACTCCAGAGAGGCTCGATACAGTTTGTGGTGGTTAATCTGCCAACTTGATGAGATTTAGTGTCATTGTGGAAATATGTCTCTGGACTCGTCTGTGAGGGACTGTGTAGATTAGGTTAGCTGAGGTGGGAAAGTATACCTTAAATATGGGCAATGCTGTTCTATGGGCTGGAGTCCTGGACTACATGCAGAGAAGAGAGCAAGCTTTCTGACTATGGAAACAGCGTCCTGCCACCAAGACTTCCTCCCCATCATGATGGACTCTACCCTGGAACTGTGAACCAAAATGGACCCTCCCTTAAGCTGCTTTTTGCCAGGGTATTTTTTCATATCAATAAGACAAGTAACTGATACACAATCCAAAACACAGCCACGATATGCTGGGTGCTGTTCACAGGGCCTCTAGCAGGGTTCTCCAAGACCTGAACCCTACCTCCAGATGATCGCTGAAAGGTGAGGTGATGCAGCGATGAGGAGCCACCAGGCCTGGACCTGTATCCCTGCCTCCCAGCCCGCCCAGTCACTTTTAGAGTCACTTGTGAGCATCTTGCCCCAGGTCTGAGCCTGACTCCATGAGTGAAGGGCTATGATGCAGGTTCCAATATCAAGTAGGACATGCACAAGCCAGCTGCTTTCTCCATCCTTGGCCACCATCAAGGCCAGCTGCTGCTTCGTTTTCTGGGATAGCTGTGTTGGGGTGGCATCATACAAAGACAGTCCTCGCTCTTGCTGCTTTTGGATAAGCAGTTCATTTGCCAGGACAGGGATGTTATTGTTGGTGACAGCTACCTGGAACTCCTACATCACCTTCCCTTGCAGAGGCTGATCTGCTTGTGGGGCCTCATGGTTTCTTGTCCCTTCTTTTCTGGGATCTAGCCGCTCCCCCCAAAATACCACTTTGGGTCTCATGTCCTTGGTACTAAGTGAGGCTTTTTCTTGGTGCTGTCAAAGGTTGACAGACAGAAACAGAAGCCTCAGGAGTTGAGGATCATGGGCATTTCAAGGAAGCTGAGAACTGAGGATCTTATGTATCTTCTAAACACACACACACACACACACACACACACACACACACACACACACACGTGCGCACACACACACAGAGACACTCACATTCACATGGGTGTACACCCTCCTACACATGCACAAGCTCACAGTCAATGAACAAATGTACTCCTGTATGCCTCTGTATATGTTCACACAACCCAGTGGACAAAGGCATGCAGACGAATCTGGGGACTCGTGCATTTGCGCACACACCCACATGTAAACATATGTGCTCATATACACATACACACAGATGTCCACAGTACACACACTCTTGCACGTATTATCAAATGCACACACTCGTCTACATCTGCCTCACCATGAACCTGAGCTACTGGCAGCACAAAAGGTGGGCTCAGTGGGTCGACACAGGAATCAGTGTCCTGCTGCAGTCATGCTACATCAGCCTGGGATGGGACATCAGTCAGAGGCTGCGCTTTCTTTTCTGCTCTGCACATCTGTGAGCCCAGTTAGGGGCTGGGCGGGGCCCTAGGAGTCAAAGTGCTCAGACTTGCCGTCCTGCAGACATGCTGAGCCAGAGCCTTTTGGCTCCTCAGGCTCTGGGGCCAAGCACACTTACACACTTGGTGCCTGAATGTCACCAGCTGGACACACCAGTGAGAGAGGGTACCCTGCAACAGGGATGAGGCTGCCTCTGGTGACCCATCCATCACACAGGGCTAGGCTGGCTCTATGGTGGTCAGCAGCGGAGCAACGGGTACACAGGTCTCAGAGGATGGAGGTGTAGCCATATCTCTCCTCTTTTTCTGAGGACACCACCCACCCCAGTAAGCCTCATCTTAACTTGGTCTCCTCTGCAGAACTCTTATTTCCAAACAAGGTCACCCTTTGAAGGTCTGTGCAGGCGTGAATGCTGGGGATGAGGGGATACTGCTCACCCCAGTCCAGGGATGACATCAGAAGGGCTGGGACTTCTCTGAGGGGACTTTGGCCCCAGAATCCTGGACTCTAAGGAAGAGAACTGACTGGGCTGGATGCCTCTCAGAGCACTGTGGTAGAAGCCAGCTTTCTTGGATTGATTTTACCTTTTCCAATAAATTTCCTCCATGGTACCAAATTAATTAATGTTTACTAAAGAAAAGCTTTTTTTTCAGTTTAGTTTAGTTTAGTTTAGTTTAGTTTAGTTGGTCGAGTGCCTCTATAGTATGCTCAAAGCCCTGTGTTCCACCCCAAGCACTACATAGACAAGGCAAGGTGATGCATGCCTGTAATCCCAGCACTCAAGAGGTAGAGACAGGAGGATCAGATGATCTCTGCTAACAGAAAGTTCCAAGACAGCCTGGGCTACGTGAGATCCTTTTTATAAAGAATTGCATGTATTCCCCAACGCAGAAGCAGTATGTTAACATTTCGACACCTCTATGCTGTTTTCTACAACCACAACCCCTTTAGTATTTAGTTACTTAGTTATGTATGTGTGTGTGTGTGTTGAGGCATGTGGAGGTCAGAGGACAACCCAGAGGAGTCAGTTCCTTCCACATACAATACGGGTCCCAGGGGTCGAACTCAGATCCTTAGGAGTGGCAGCATCGGCCCTTCCCTGCGGAGCCATCTCACCGGTCCACAAATACTGTTTAAAAGCACAATTTTGGGTCCTAGAGGGATCCTGTATAGTCACTTACTTGTACTATTTCAGGAAGTCTCTTGAGGCCCCTAAATAGTCACTCTGTAGCTTGATTTATGTGTTATTCATTAATATTTTGGGGGCGCTATGTATCAAGTCCAGGGAGAACTCATCCCAACCTGTCATGGTAACAACAGGTCACCAGGCTCTTCTGTCGCCTGAGATGGTAGATGCATGATTCCTGCTTTCAGTAACATAAATCATGGGTAGTTAGCTTCTTTGCCAACAGATCCCAGTATTCAGCCATATTCCCTCCCCCAGGATAAATAAATTCCTAACAGAGGAATGATGAGATCAAAGCATAAAAAAGTCTAATTTTTAAAAAATGTCTTGCCAGGTTGTCCTTAACCCCGAAGTCAAGGTTCGTCCTCATTGCTGAAGCAGATGCAGGCCAACCCACACTCTCTGCTACCTGGCACGGATGCCAGATATTCATCTACACGCGTGTTTATGAGCTCAGGCCATTCTCAACACTCCAGATGGGAAGACAAAGGCACCCAGAGCAGAAGGCGCAGCCCCTGGTGGAAACACCCTTTGTACAGCCTATGGCAGCACCATGGCCAGAGGGGAAGGCAATTTGCAGCCCAAAGGTAATGGACACAGGTGAACTGCTGGAGTTACCTCTTTCTGAAGAGCCTTGGCTAACTCATCACCACAGCTGCCTTCTGGGATGTGGTGTGTCAGAGTGCATCATGGGACAGCAGGCCTGGGTAAGCAATGTCTTTATAAAGAGTTCTGCAAGCGAGAAAAACAATGAAAGCATGAAATTTGCAGGCAAATGGATGGAACTAGAAAAAATCATCCTGAGTGAGGTAACCCAAACCCAGAAAGACAGTCATGGTATGTACTCACTCATAAGTGGATTCTAGATGTAAAATAAAGAACAATCAGACCACAACCCATAGAA